ACATCACGATTTGTGAAAATGTCCTTTTTATTGAATAAAATGAGCAGGTGTCGCTGTTGTTTATAGATTTCCAACTCTGGCAAAGCTTGTTTGACTTGTGATTCAGCCAAGATAATTGAAAACATTAATTTATAATTGCTTCTATAGTTTGTACATGTTTGAAATTGTTTATGTTTATTTTTGGCCCAACATATTGTAATTACTATTGTTATTTATGACCAGGTATCAAGGATGACAGACTCGTATTATATGGATTTCACAGTGCAGCCTCATTGACACAGTGTCATTATTTTATTTCTAAAGCTGCAACATTTCCTCAACACTGGGCAATAGTTCCACTAGACATAAAACAAGTTAGCCCATCTCACAAACATAATTTACAGAAAAACAAAAGGTAGTGAGAGCCTTACTCAAGGGAGCTTACAATCTAGAGGAAGTGAGGTACAATTACACAATAGGTAAAGAGACAGAGTATATTATGTTCACATGAAACAATATTATGCAGCAATTTAAGAGCAGGGAGGTTGGCTAAGAATCATGGAAGTTGTAGTCCTGTAGTGTGCCTGTCAATTCTGAGGTCCATATTCTGAAGGGGAAGGATAACATCCCAAACTGTTTTCATAAAACTTCACTCCTTCATACGCTCTTATTTTTAGTGAATAGTAATTACTGTCAGTGTAAAAATATTACAGGTACATAGTTGTCTAGATTGAAATAAGACTGAAGTCCATCAAGTTTAACCGTGAATACTTTCTTGTTTTTACATAGTTTTGCGCCTTTTCATTGCATATAGAAAAAAGCTTGACTATAGGAATATTTTAGGGTTTTTCTTTTTTAAATTCTATACTAAACAAAAAAAAATGCTATTTTCTACATGTCTCGCATTTAGGCGTGAGGCTTTACACATCCAGATAACAAGCCAAATAAGAATTACATCCACCTTTTTTTTTTCCACCTGAGCACCTGAATTATTGGCATTTGAAAGTGAATTCAAAGTGATCAGATAAATTCTACAAGTGAGCCACGACTTTAGTTCGGCTATTTTGTCCAATATTTATACATTCACTTTTGAATTCACTTTCAATACCTAACAATTTACACCTTAGCGAATAACCCTGACAGATGGTTACTATATTCTAAAAATACAGGCTGTACAAACCTAATGTGCTTAATGTGCATTAGAGTGGCCATGTGAAATAATGATGACACTACTAAAAAAATTCCATACCCTTTGTTCCCAGCGATTAAAATGATCAAAGAGGGACACTTTCAGTTAGGGGTTGTGGCTGAAGGTGTCACCATGGGGCAGGGCTGCTCTGGACATTATAACACGTACTTATTTAACTGAAAAATGCCCTCCGACCCCAATGGATCCACCCACAAGATTTTTTGGACTTCTTATTTCCCAATGTTGGGAGATGTGTACCTCCAAACTGTCCTGATTTAGAAGAGAGAGTCCCTATTTTGGGCCCAAATCCCTCTGTGCCTCTTTTGTTGGGAGTTCAGTAATCTTGGTTTCTCTGAAAATATACCAAAACTCCACAGCAATAATACTAAAAGTAATGATTGGCTACCTTGTTCTTAAATTTGAAATTCACTTTAAATTCACTTTAGCAAATAACCTTGATAGAAACATTTATATAATATTATGATGCATTTTCTGTACTAACATATCCTTATATCTGTCTGGAATTATACAATGAATATGAATATACACAATCCTGTCATCTCACCCTCCAGTTACACAGAGCTATGTTTTATGGTTATTGTCCTAAGTAATAAAGTGAAATAAAATGTAACAGTTGCTCTGGAAGACACCATAAATCTACAGAAACTTCAAGTGCTGGTTCGCTAAACCTTATAGCCCATAATTTGTATCCTCTTTTTAATGTGCAGAGTTGAAATATCATTTAATGTCTTTGGGGGCTTATTTACTAAAGTGGTCATTGCAAAACCAAAAACCAAATTCTTGAAATTTGGGCTGAAATTGAGGATAACATTGGGTTACTGTTGCAAGTAGAATGTAAGCTCCTTTGAGTAGGACCCCTTCACACCTTCTCACACCTGCTGGAAATGCTTGAATTGAATCCAATAATTGTGTACAGCTTTACAATAACAATAATTATTTTCAAAGCACCATCATATACCATAGCTATGCACCATAAAATAAAGAGAACATACAAGTATTTGCATACAGTCAGCATAGGTAAAAGTACAATGTATTCAGAATTAAGATTAATTGCTAGGTGTACTAACAATATAATTGCTGTAGACATTACAAATTCTATATAGAGGACAAGATGAAACATTATTATTGGAGACAATATGGAGGTGAGGAATGACGGAGAAGCTAAGGGAAAAAATAGAATCTGGTTATAAGAACATGTTTGTTTTTAGGGTTTACATGAACAGGAAACTGGAAGAAAGTCCAGTAGGTGAACATCAGAACATGGATGTCCTAGATTGGTACGGTAGCCAAGAATTGAGGGTAAAACCAGACAACAGGAGCAGGTCATTGGTTTAATAGAGGGATTGGATGTTCTTACTGTATGTCTAAGTATCTGTAGGTTGGTGTCATAGTTATGGAGAGCATTGTAGGTCAATAGTAAATATTTAATTAAATCCTAGGGGAAATGGTTTTGAATAAAATGGAAGCTGACAGCAGATGGTTTTGCTGATATTAGTCTTGTGCAGCAAAATTTTCTGGTTCTTCCAAACTGATACAGTTCTTATTTTTAAAATGTTTTCATTTTTCTGATAGTAACTGGGTAGGCCAGGGTGGCACTAGCTTCTCCCCGCTATATTATTAATACCTTCACCAATGCTTAGGGGTTATGGGGGACACTATGTACCCCTTTCATTATAAATATTAGGACCACGTTGCCCATCAATGGTGGCTAGGGGGGACATAGGTCATCTCCCATTAATACTAGAGTAGCCCCACTCGATGCCCATAGCTGGGGGCAAGGTTGGGCTATTATTACCACTCATTATATTACTGGTCCTAGCACCTTTTCTGGCAGTTGGGCAGCTATGGCTCTTTTTCAGGAGAAATTTAGGAGAGGTCAAATGCTTCAATTAAAGCATGGGGGGGGGCGGGGGGGAGAGGGAGGGTTTTATTGACCCCCATAGGATTTTTTATTAGTTTAATTTATTTTATTTTTACTCTTTTAATATGGTGGCTGGTAAGCAAGTCCTGGCCTTCTGCTACATAATTAACCCTCGCGCAAGTGAGCGTTTGTCTTTTTGTTGTTGTTGCTATTTCTCCACAGGCTGATAGTGCTGCCAGCAGGCAAATAGTTCAGGTTTTTGTTTCTTAATCCAGGCCCAGAGTTGAAGCCTCCTAGCCCAGATTTGTATTATTTGGTCCAGATTTTAGCCATCCAGCAGCATTCTGGGTGAAATTCAGACCAAATTCAGGCCTGTCCGAGGGCCTGCAGTTAAAAATCCAAACATTGCTCAATTCCATGTACAATGTCCAGATCGTGCAGTCTAAATGGCGCCATACAGCAGCTAATGGTTTTGTTCCATTCGGTACAGGGCCATTCGGACTTTAGTGAATAACCCTGTATATTTCAGATGATGTATTTCTGTTTGCCTGCGCATGGACCGCCCAGAGTGGCTGTCAGTCAGATCGATGTGCATTCACTCCAAGCTGACAGACCACTATTTTGGTTGTTGCAAGTGATGTAAATTAAATTCCCCTTTAGGCCTGCCCACCCTCTGTCCAGTGTTTATACCTCCCAGTGTTGGTGTGATTAGTTACAGATACAGAACTAACATCTAATTAGATTCAATTATGCATACAGAATTAACCATCCACACACATACACCAACCTAACAAGCACTATTACACACATACCACCCCACAAACATACTAACAAACATCCATAGACACCCAGTAGCATATATTCTTGGACACACACACACTGAATGACATACATAAGATCACACACACATATAAAGACAGCTTTATAATTTCCCCTCTTTCCCCCCTGCTGCTCACATTTCTCATGAATGGAACACGACCCCTGGTGTTTATTGTTTGGGCTGTACTGCGTGATGGTACATAGCTATGGATGCTATATGTTGGTTTCATTAGCAGTGCCCATTGCAGTGAGCACAGTGGATCTCAGGTTCTCATATTGACACATTTAATATGTAAATAATTATTCAAGGCTACAGAAACATATATAACTTTAGTGAAATACAATTCCTTTATTTAAGTCATTAAATAAATCAATTCGCAAACAGTTGCACACTGCAAAAACAACTATAATTAAAAATAAATATTAAAAAATGTAGTATCGATATCAAAATATCAAATTATGTCATGTATAAAAAATTGATCTATATATGAAAAAATATCAATATAGCTAATATATATATCATATAATTTTACAGCTTTAGCCAAAAATATTAAATCATTTAAAAAGTGTGTTCAGAAATATTAGATGGAGGCTTTAGTATAAAAATAATTACTGACAATTAAGGTCAACTTTATAAACTGAGCCTAAGTGCGAAAAGCCTGTGCTGGTCCACTCACAAATTAAAAATAAATAAAATAAAACTGCCTTCATCTCAGTACTGAAGCCACCTTCTTCATGGAGCCCAACCTCTCCTGCTGAAGTTACTTCTCCTCGCTGGACTGATCCGAATTTCACAGAGGGCGAGTTTAGGGGAAGACATGGAACAGTACAGGGTGTGGGGGACATGCCACCATTGGACTCCTGTCACCATCATCATGCTATGTGTTCTGACATCAGACATCCTATATGCACAGAATTCAGATAAGCCACCCAGAACTTGTATTCCAGGCTGGCTAATGACTTCCCAATGGACTTCAACCTCCAGCAGCAGAGTGATTAAACTTTGCATGTGCAGGATTTCATAGCGAAACACTGCACATACAGACTGAACTTGTCATGGTGCTTGCAGTAACCCTTTAACTCTATACTATAAAATAAATATACCACAAAATTAGTCAAATGGCAGCTACCCGTGGACTCACAAAGAGTCATCCTTCAGCACTCAGGAAAGGAAAACCTCCATGTGGACAAAATCTCTGGCTTGAAGGACTGCCCTTCCCTCTATTCATAATCAGGTTTGTTCATTCTTGATCAAGGGATATCTAGCTCTAGACTGAGAAAAAAAAATTTTTTTTTTGTGCATTGGAATGGGTAACCTCCGGGTTTCCTAGACCTCTGGCGTCCTCCTGGCTCCGGGACCTCTGGCATCTTCCTGGCTATTGGACATCTGGCATCCTCCTGGCTTTTGGACCTCTGGTGTCCTCATGGCTTCTGGACCTCTGGCATCCTCCTGGCTCCTGGATCTCTGACATCCTCATGGCTCCTGAACCTCTGGCATCCTCATGGCTCCTGGACCACCGTTATCCTTATGGCTCCTGGACCTCCAATGTCATCATGGTGTCCAGGTCCCCAAGCATTCTACAGGATCCCATGCCCAGGTGTCAGAAAGGATTCTGTGCTCAGGTGTCTTGAGTTCAGATGCTGAGGTATCTTCCAGGGTCAAGATACCTAAGCTTCCCATGCATTCAGATGCCAATGTTTCACAGGCAATGAGGCACAGGTGCTCTCAAAGTTTTTGCGTCTTCCAATCCCTCACACCCATGTGTCCTATAGGCATCCAGTGGGCAGGCATTGTCCAGGAGTGTGGAACCTAGGCATCCTACTGGTACCTGGCTCTCAAATATCATCCAGTGTTGTGCTTCAAACATATTTTCCAAATTCACTGTGTTCAGATGATGTAGCATCCCATGTGTCCAAATTCCAGTGCATCCCAGCTGGCTAGATTGTCCAGGTTCCTGCTGTCCAGGTGTGTTAGATACACCTGGTGATAGTGATTAGATGTTGCAGTTGTTTGATTGTAGCACCAAACCCACAGGGAAATACCCAAACTAACAACATTTTATGTTTGTTTACTTTTTTTTTTTCTTCACAAAACTTGTCTAGATGACAAAGCTTCCCAGAGAAAAGATGCAGATACTCTTAACATCTGAGTATCTTCCAGGTTCCCATTACCTAGGCAATTATTCACACTGCACAGTGTCAGGCTTTTAATATACTTTGCAAAGTCACGATGTAGAAGTCTTCCTGCATTTAGATGACAAAGCTTTTCCCTCATACAGAAGCCGAAGCTTCCTCAAAACTTTAAAGCTCCTGGTAATTTAGCATCCTCCAGACTCCTCCAGTCCTCATGACTCCTGGTCTCTTGGCATCCAGATGCTGAAGCTTCCTAGGAATCTTTCTTTGTCGGGAAGCTGACAGGAGGAAAATCACTTTTGTCTTCAACTGACACGTTTCAGATATTTTCTGAATGATCATATTTTCACGTGTAATTGCCTGGTGTTATGGAACTCTGAAAATCCATTTCCTGGCTGACTAATGTGTGCAGAATGCTTTGCCTGCAGATACATAGAAAATATATTTTGCCTAATGTCAGTACTGGAACACTCCCGTGCTGTGGTGCTAAACTCATTGGTGCTCAAAAAGCTACAAAGATTGCTGCTGATATGCAAACAAGAGGCTTTACTTTTCTTGATCTTAAGCTATGTGTATCTTTTTATATCTATATTTTACGTTGGCTTGGCCAATCGTGTGTATAGATAAAGTGTATAATAATCCAAACCCATTTCTCTCACAGGTTTTGTTAGACAACTGAAACAGTCAACAGGTGGAGTGCTATTTTTAACTAGAGATCATTTAAGTTTTCAACCTGTAAAAATATGTGCAGTGCCGTGGGGAGCATAAAATAGCTAAGGAGGACATTTTGGTATACCAAGTTTTAGAAATTTGGATTTGTGAAAGGCTGTTTAGGAAATTTCCCTTATTTGATTAATCCATTGATCGTAATTGTGAGTATGCTTAAACTTATTATTTGCGTTAAAAATCCCCTTTCCATTTCAAGTTGGAAAATTATTTGGTTTTTATATTGGGTGAAGTCTGGAGATATTTGTTTCCAGGCTCTCGCAATAATAACTTTAGCGGACATTTTTTGTGCTAGCGCATCTTGACCTTTTAAATCTCCTTGAAAACTACAAAGGGAGTTGCTTGTTTCTGAAGGTCACCGTCAGATCTATATCTGGCACAGCCCATAGACTGCATATTTTTTTTAAAAACATCCAAACTCAGTTTCCATTCGCCTGGATCTACAGAATGTCGGCTCAGCAACAGTGTTCATTTGTCCTGGTAGGTGAATCGCAGACAACCCTTCCACATTCTGTTGGGCCCAGAATATTATTGGTTTGGATTCTTGTATCAGTCTCTTCTTCTTCATGTTCTCGGGTCGGAGAGGTCCAATATCCTCAATTACTATGTACCAACATAGTAATTCTAACCCAGGGAGTCCCATAATGAAAAACTAATGGCAGGTGAACTTTAAAAAAAAAAAGTGTATTGCTACCTAACAGCTGGAGGACAGGAAACAAAGATTGCTGGATATGAGGTGACTCTCTTATATAAGATTATTTTCATTTTAGATTCCTGTCCTATCAGCTGAGAGGGAGGAACTTAACCCATAGTTGATGCTGTCATGGATTAGCCAGGAAAATTAGGGTCTGTCCATTATACTTTGAATTTCTCTCAGCCCTTTGAATTGTAAGCCTCTTTGATCAGGGGGTCTTCACCTACTATTCCAGAATGTCAAACATGTTTTATTAGAATTAAAGGTTTGTCTTGTTTAACTATTGTTTAATGCTACAGAATATTTTGCTGCAGCAATTTACAACAGCAGCTTCTATTCTAACATCACACTATGCAGCGAGTGTTACACCACAACTATCACACTGTGCAGCGATTGTTACATCACGAGAATCAATCACACTGTGCAGCAGTTATTACATTACAAGCATCACACTGTGCAGTGATTGTTACATCATGAGAATCACACTGTACAGTGATTATTACATCACAAGCATCACACTTTGCAGCAGTTATGACATCACAAGCATCCTACTGTGCATCGATTATTACATCACAAGCATCACACTGTGCAGTGATTATTACATTACAAGCATCTCACTGTGCAGCGATGAATTATTACATCACAAGCATCCCTCTGTGTAGCGATTATTACATCACACGCATCACACTGAGCAGTGATTATTACATCACAAGCATCACACTGTGCAGCGATTATTACATCACAAGCATCTCACTGTGCAGCGATGAATTATTACACCACAAGCATCCCTCTGTGTAGTGATTATTACATCAAACGCATCACACTGTGCAGCGATTATTACATCACAAGCATCACACTCCACTCAACCATTTAACCATTTAAGCAAAACACTAATGTTATAGACCATATTCATATTTCCCAATTGTTCATTATTAAATATTCACTTAAATATTGTGCATAATTTCCTCTGTCCCTCATATTTGATCCAGTGTTCCTCTTTTGCACGAATTCAGAATTTCAGCTGTTTACTGATGAATATAAATACACTGTTAACAATAAAAGTAACAATAATGTGTTATCTAACTACAATGAAAATGTTATATAAATATTTTGTGTAAATAACAGCACTTTCACCTTTATAAATTAGTTTTTCAGTTAAATAAATGCCCTTTAGTAGGCCATGAATACAAAATAAATCGCTCTGTGCCAGCCATGCCCCTGACAACACAACACTGGATTATTTATTGACGTGAGAGATGTTGGGGATTCAAAGTAAATTCAAAGGAATTTAAAATTTCAGTAGAAAATAGATCAGGTGGGAAAAAATTCTTCAAGTCAGTTAGGCTTCCAATTCAGCTGTCTAAACCTTAAATTTGAAATTCACATTGAATTCCTGACAATTGTTACTTTAGTTAATAACGCTGCAGCTTATATATAATTATGGGATTGGGTCACCAGGGAATTGTCCCCAGCAAGAAATGTATGAACATATTATTACATGTGCGGAGGCCTCTAGGACCATGCAGAAAGTACACTGAATGTAAATTAGGTTTTGTATTAATTTTTAAATATATATATATATATATATTTATATATAACATATAAAGAGAACCTGTTTTAAGGAAAGCATGAACATTTAAAAAATCAGCTATATAAACAATATCAATGACCAATCTTAAAGGGAAGAAGAACTAGACAGGATATTCATAGTGCAGACTGAATTGATCGTACAATATCTGAGTTATTTACTAGTGAGAATTGCCAGGAGTTCAAAAAGAATTTAAAGTGTCCCTCTTTGTCCATTTGGAATGTTAGAAGAGATGGGTTATTATGGGAAGGCAGCCGGGAAACTAATCTTTATTTTTGTTTTATCATTTCAATGGGCATAGGGTAAAGTAGTCCCTACATTGTAAAATATATATCTGTTGAATTTATAGGGAGTTTTTATACGAATTTAACATTTTATTTAAAAAAAAAGAAAACCCAAACAAACAGAAGTTTTCAGTTTAAGTGACTGACGTTCCTGTGAGCATCTGTTCTGGCGCTTGAAGGGTTAGCCGTTAGGGGGCCTGAACATCTATCGTGAGCCACCAGTTTCATATTCATCCAGATTGATTGTTGCAATTTGTTTTTAATTAAACTGATTTTACAACTTCCAGATGGTTAAATGGGTCTTTAATTCTTCAATCACTCCCAAACAGGTCGCTGACGAGTTTCAGGAATAACAATATGCAAACGGAGAGAAGTAGTAAATCTCAATCTACCACAGTCGTGCACATTACTTATGGTTATGAAGGAGCAATATGGGGTTTTATTACAACTGGCCTCTAAATGAAGTTGTGTAAAATAACAAAATTATTCAAAATATATATTTTGGCGATAGTTCCTTGAAAAACCCAGAATGATTCTGTTGTTTGAATTTTATCGCAGAGAGGTGACCACATCCTACATTAACCTGGAGCTGAGAGCTGATACGGCTAAGTTGTTGACCATTCAGGAAACAGAAAAAATACTTCTATCAGCTTACTGATGTCTGCCTGTATTATTATAGTCAATAAATTCCAGACCACGAAACCCATCTTTTTTTCATTCTTATTTGCCAAATTTCATTTTCAGAAAAACAGATGTCTCTAGACTTTATGGCTATAATCGAAAATATTTAGGAATTTCATCTGTAACGAGTGATATATTTACTGAGACTTTAGATACAAGTAGCCTAACGAATTTGAAATGTTTGTATGCTGATCAAAAAGTTAAAAATATAGATGAGCAAGCACTAGCTAGGACACTGTTATGCAGGGCCAAATTGTTTTCTCTGCAGT